AACGTCTGGGCCACCACCCTCCAAGTTCCGTTGTTCATCATCTTTTCGGCCGGCGGTTCGAATTCGAAGAAAAAATGAGCTACTTGTGGTGTCTTTTCTTGCCTTTCTTAGGCTTCTTTCCACGTCCCCCTGGCCTCCCCTTTTGGGGAAGCTCAAGGGTTTGGAGCGGTGACATCAGGGACTTATTATATTGTCGGGCATATGCTTTGGCTGGTGCATTAAAAGTCAACTTCAGTTCAGCAAGCACGGCTAAACCTTCGTTGATGTAGATTCGGGCCGTCTTGGACGAGGCCCACCTCCCCTGAACCAGGAGGCGATCTAGCGAGACATGTCGTCCGAAGTACATGGTGGCCCCTCCTCTTCGAAGGCTGTAAGGACGGAAGTCGTGCCCTTCAAGCTGACAAGCTTCTAGTGCGTCATTGAAAGTCTTTCTCCAACTGTGGGCTGTGCCACAGAGCAGCGACGGTGTGTTAGGAGTGTGTAGCCATTGCCAGAGTCGTCGAAGAGTTTCTTCTTCTCTGATTGTAACACTTTCACTTGCTCCTACTCTCTTTCCTCCCTTCGTCATTCCGAGGGAGATGACAGCTGGTGACCTGGGCCCTACTTGAGTGACATGAGTCTTTCGGATGCCCAGAAGCTCCCCGGTGCGTAGGAGCCCGTGGAAGGCCAGGAGTAGTGAGAGCCCAAAAAGTCCATTTCCAGAGAAGAGTGCGTATCCGACAAGAACGTGCAGTGCCTCCACCGGCAATGGTGGCGCTCTGTTTGGTATTTCATTGGTCTGCCATGTCCTCATCAGTCTCCATGCGCTAGGAAGGTGACCTCGAAGTGCTGGCTGCTGGTCTTGCACGGAAGCGATAGTGTCACAGGCAAGGGCCCGGCCCTCGCCGGTTTCCCAGAGGAACTCTATGTACTGCGAGAGGAGGTAATCATGACCAGGTGCATCCCTTGGGAATACACGTCCTTCATCCTTCAAGAAACTCTTGTATTTATCCAATGCTTTATTGTATCGATCTCTAGTCTTGCTCTGCACTGAAAGATTGCGGAGTGGGCCTAAACGTCTTCTCTGCTCTTGTCTGGCTGCTTTACTTCTACCTTCTAGGTGCGCTGTCTGCCTTCTCACCATTTTTTGCGAAAGGGCCGCCTAGACGGCCGATCTGCTGGGTTTTGAGAAGTATGGACATACGCCCATACTCCATGGTTGCCAGAAGCTAGAAGTAAAGCATCTATTCGACAAAGCGTCCTCCTCATCTTCCTGCTGCTGCTTCGTCCACGTGACAGAGAATGTAGGCACACGAGGCTATCGATCATATGGATAAATTTTGAGTGGAAGGTCTTCTGCTTCAGGATTCGCCATCTGAGGGTGGTGAGGACGGCCCTCATCTCAAGCACGTTGATGTGTTCGGGGCTGCCTCGCCAGTGCCATCCAGTTATCGTCCTCCACTTCCAAAGGGCAGCGGGCAAGCTAGCTCTGAGCCGATGATATCGGAGCGTCTCCTCAGACTGGGCCTGAATCATGATGTCCTCACCTTTTAAGCTGACCAAATTCAAAAGCTTCTCCACAAGCATTTGGCTACCAGGACTGCTCCCCTCAGCTGTAGGAGCATTCAGCGGCGGTCTCTGCAGAAGTCCAGCGACTGTGGGGCTTGTCCCGGTGTGGTTAGGTCTACTGCGTCTTGAGGACTCAAGAATGAACATAGTCCCAACTGGCCTCCCAGCTGAGAAAGCAGCCAGGTCACCACTGTGACGTTCCACGTGTTGCCGACCAGCGTCTTGCGCTCGTCCTTGTGGGCATCGGTGTCATGGAACTGCTTGCTCATGCACTGAAACGTATAATCCTTTGGAAACCCCGTGATGACCTCCCTCTCAACAATGTTTGGAAGCCGCAAGCTTCCTCCTGGTTCCTTCACGAGATTCTTCTGCTGATATTGGTATGGAGGAAACCTGTATCGATCTTGTTCCCATGCTTGGCGCTCCTCCTCATCCAGAGTGTCAAGGCCTGCTGGTTTACGGCCAGGGTTCTCTCTAGGCCGCGAGGTCGTGAAGGTGGGGAGCGGCCCTGGCGAGGTACGTTGGCGCCCATCCATGAGGAAGAGGTCGGCTTTCACTTGTGCATGAAGCTCCACGGTCTTGTACCGAGCACTCCCCGATCCAACAGGAGGCTGCACCACCACTCCCCGGCCTGGGAGCAGCTCCCAATCGCACCAGTAGAGGCGAGGTCGTCGAGCCAATGAGACTCCGGCGGCATCAACGGAGACTGGGATGTCACCAAACGACTCTGTCATGATCTTCCTGTCACCTTCATCCATGCTCATGACACTTTCGGCTAGGTAGCGAACCTGCGCCCAACAGAAGTGCACCCGCACCAGCTCACGAATCCGAGCCACATGACTGAACAAACAGCTGCGGTGATCGCGAAGAGCTCCACGTCGGTTGGCATTTAAGCCGCTCACTCCTTGACACGGCGGACCAGCGCCGATGAGAACCACTGCGGCCTGGGAGTACCTAGCCGCCCAAGATCGCACCGTCTCGTCATCAACCGCCTCCACGCCGCCAGGAAAGCAACTCTCAAGGACCCTGCTTGCCTCCTTCTTCACTTCTACACTTATATGACCAATCACTCCCAACATCTGCTGCCACTCGCAACGCTCCTATTCCATCGAAGAGCCCGATGGTAAGTATGGCCGTCAAGTCGCTAGGATCAGCCAGATCTCCTCGCACTTTTGCTCCGGCTGCCGCCTGGCCGAACCCTGTCAGGCCTGCGCTGGCCGTTATACCTCCTCCCGTGGTCGAAGCGTCACTAGCAGTAACCTCCCCGCTGACTAGGAGGCGAAAATTCAGCTTGGCTAAGGGTATCAAGCAGATGAACCTGGCAATCTCGAGTTTGACTCCATCTGGAATGGCAAACTTAATGAACGGTGGATACCCCCGAAAGCTTTCCATGAACTGCCAAACTTGGTTCAGGCGTCCCAGCATAGGGCGCCGGAACATGCTAATGTAAACCAGTCCACCTGCAACCACTTGTGCTTGTTTCTGACTGCATGACTCTTCTTGAAGAAGGAGCGAGGCCAAGGCAACATACTTGTAGATCTTCACAGGCTTGGGGTAGGCCACTCCAGCCTCTCCATCAATAATAGCTCCCTGCACCTCAGCCTTCGCTGCTCGGCAAACAGCCTTCTTGGGATGACGTGGGATTCCCCATGCCTCATACTCGGCCCTCAGAGCCAAAAGAGCTGGGCTCGGCTCCCCTTGTAGGAGCTGAGCAGTCTTGCGGTCCATCTTCTCCAGCAAGTCGAAATTGTCGAGGTAGATTCGATGAAGAGTGGGGGTTCCTGAGAATGGTCTGTCCTTGCGAATCTCACCTGAGCCCTCAAGACTGCCCGACATCCGTAGTCCAGCTCGTCGTACGATGTTGCGGTGTACGTGCTGTGCTAGACTCACAGAGTTTTTAAACCCCATAGGCAATACCTGAGATGACATGTAGTAAGGTCCATGTGGGGTCGGCCACAGCTCTCGAGGAAGGACCTTGTTGAACGCCAGAAGTTTCCTCCACTCACGTGGGATCTTGAAAATATAAAAGAAACACCGCACATCTTCAGAGGATATGACAAGGTCCTCTGTGGGCATGAAGTGGTCCCATCGTGGCCCAACTAGGTAGGGTCGAGACGTCTCCTTCCAGCGCACGGCACACAAGGTTGCATGGCCGTAGATCCATGATGAGTCTGTGAATGGGGGTGCCCTCAACCGGGGACGCCAAAGAGGCCGTTCAGCACCGGCTCTCCGTCCACCCGGTAGATGTCGTCCTCGTGAATAGGAGTGCGCACTCCCCGGCTCAACAGTCCCTTGCAGACCTCCAGCCAGTTGTCATCATGGACCAAGACTCTAGGGGGCTTCATCTTCCTCTGGACCTCCCCGGGTAGGAGGTAGTCCAAAAAATGATCCACGTAGCGTTTGCAACCGAGTTCACACACCTCTGACAACTCAACTGACGCAACTTCAGCAGGCATTGCCGGGGCTAGATTGGCCCAAGAGGTCGGGCGTGCACACAAGACTTCATCACCACAATAGTCAATGGTCTTCAACTCAAAGAAACTCTTCCAAGAGGTTCCTTCCAATCTTTCGGGCCAACCCATGACCACTTGAGCCTCCTTATGTAACCCCTTAACTATCTGGCCCTGCACTTTTGTAGGATAGAAAGTATTTTCAACCGACTCCCCATAGAAACTATTCAACGCGCAACACATGCCCCTCACAATCACCACTTCCTGCTCAGGTGCCTCCACCATCTTCTTGAGGTAGACCATGCTGGTGGGC